CCTCCTGAGGGTTCAGGGTTTAGGGTTTAGGGGTTTAGGGTTTAGGGGGTTAGGCTTTAGGGCTCCTCCTGAAGGTTTAAACCCTAAGCCCTAAGCTCTATAAATCTAGATCCTACAGCCATCATGAAGCTCCTCCCTCCGGACGATGCTGGTGTGCTTTGGGGGTTTGGGGGGAACGTTTTGGGGTGTAGAGGAGCTGAGACAATCTTCGGTTTGGGCTTTAGTTGCCAGCTAACGGATTTACACTTTTGAGGGTTCGGTTTGGCTTTGGGGACATAGGCATCCTGAGCCGTATGCGGAGGGTCCGGAAGTTGGAAGGAACACTTCCTGTGGATGCTTGCAAAGTAAGATCCCTATGACCCGAGCTCTGCAGGAAAACATCGAAAGCACATGCTGCGGTATCCCCCACTCTTGACAAAGCTCAATGACAGACGCCATACTCTAATCTAAACTCTGGTTCCTGAACTCTAAACCCTAAAAAGGCTATGAGCACTTCGAACTCTTGACTGAACCGCTACGTAATCCTACGCCCCCTTACGTCGACGAAAGAGCCCTCTACAACTGTCCAGACGTTTCTAGTTTTATGGGGTCTTCAACGGGAAGAAAAAGTCGACCAGTGCCTTTTTTGACAGGGGCTTAGAAGTTAGGGTCAGGGACTTCTCAGTTGGGCTTAGGGCTTATAAGGCTTAGGGATGTGAGGGCGTGGCGGGCGATCAGCAAGGTTCAAAGTACACCAGCCCTGATCGGGGTAATTAAACCCTAGGTGAAACCCAGTTGCGAAGTCACCTCGCTAACAAACACCTAGCAAACCCAAACAGATGCAAAAGCCAAACAAATCACCCAGCCTTGCCACCGTCCAGTGCCAGATATCGAACTAGCCTTGGCCATTCGCGTGTGCATGCATTGTCTGCGCGGTGTGCTGGGCCGTTCTTGGAGATCCTTGGGTATAAATCTAAACTATGTTCTCTCGGGAGACTATGGTATTACATCGTAGTTCCCCGATAGCCAATGAAATAAAGTTCAAGCTGCCAGAGTGTCAAATATCTCAGAAACAAAAGATGCAATCATTATCGTCAAGAAGCAGCTGCCTTTGGGTCTACGCTTTACAAAGTTCGCATCTGAGTCGTTTTCGAAGTGGAGTGGAGCGCTGGGGGAAACCACAACGTTCGCAACAAATAACACCAACCTCCTAAACGAAACCCCAAGCCCCCAAACCAGACTAAACCAAACCCTACTCCCAAACCAAAACTACCGAAGAAAAGACCAAGAGGCCGCAGGTGAACAGGCGCCAGCCTTTGAGAAAGGAGCTCGCACTGCTCTGGTGTCACAAGCCAGGGACGTGGGGCGCCCAGAGTCACCACGCCCTTCGCCTAAGGCCAACTTCGACTCAGGATGTCGGCTGAGGGTCTAAGGGCACTCCGGAACCCCAATCCGTGTTTGTGATCGGTCGCGGTGTCGGTGTGTCGGTGTGTGCGTGTGAGTGAGTGTTTGAGTGAGTGAGTGAGTGAGTGAGTGAGTGAGTGAGTGAGTGAGTGAGAGAGCGAGTGAGTGTGTGTGTGTGCGTGTACGCGTCCGTAAGTGGATGTGGATGTGTATGCGGAGGTCACTGTATGTGCATATGAATAGATAGATAGATAGATAGATAGATAGATAGATGGATGGATGGATGGATAGATAGCGGAACACAAAGGCTTGGAGTGCCCTAGATGGTAGGACTCAGGCGCCGGGCGTCGTCTTTCATACAGTAGCAGAGCTGCGAAAACAACGCGCACATCCCTAAACCCTAAGCCTAGGCCCAAAACCCGATACCCTGAATGATAGAGGACAGACCCAGCAGCTGCACCGACACATCTACGACTGCATAATGCCATGTAGCATGATGCAACTATATGTGAATGTTATAGAATGCAATCGAGACCTTGCACGTTGCAGATTTGAGCTCAGCCTGACTTCATGCTACTTCGTATTTGTGACGATGGAGCTTTCGACATTGGTTGTGGGGTGAGCTTGTCGGAAATGGTCCCGAATGAACGACTTATCACTCGATCCCGTTCCCGGACAAGTGGTACCAGCAGGTAGGAGAGGAGCTCTGCGGCTAAGCCCAGCTTGGCTCACACTGACATGATTATGGCCCTGGCTGGGACGGGAGTTCTGTTGCCATTTGGGGTGCAACAAACTTGAATGTAAACTCGGGATAACCCCTCTTCCCGTGCTGTTTACCTGAGTCCAACCTCAAGCCCGAATCTACTATAATATACTTCACTATACTATACTATAACATACCATGCTCTATCTTAATATACGAAAACACACTATATTAACAAAAAACTATCTTAATATACGAAAACACACTATATTAACAAAAAAACCGTGTCTGCGGCCCAGGGGCATGATGGCTTCCATCGCCGACAAGATCCAGGAGTGCAGCGTAGCTTGCCATGGTGCCACCCATGGAGTGTCCCACAAGATACCTCGGGATCTTACAAGCAAGGGTTTAGGGTTTAGGGTTTAGGGGTTTAGGGGTTTAGGGTTTAGGGTTCTGTTTGGGGCATTTTTGTTCAATCCTGAAAGTCGTTTCCCACGCCAAGAAAATCTCGTGATACATGTGCAACGATGTGGTGCTCCATGGCTTGGAATGCAAGGAAATGATGTTTCTGACCCGAAGACAAATCACGGCATGAGCTGGCCAGTATCCGTCATAGACGTTCCTAGTTCATGAAGTAAGATACTTTCCTTCTGTCTGAAATCTGACAGCACAGCATTCTGAAATTCGAACCCTACCAGCACAACCCCCGGATACGAGATATGCATAGACACGAACTCCGGTAACCAGTGGTATGTCGTGATACCCATATTCGGTAATGCAGGATGCGGGTACATCAACAGTCTTGGAGACAGTGCTGCCTTCGAGCCCTAAGCCCCTTATGAAACCCAGTGCGGCAGATTTGAAATGCACTCAACCTGACATTCGTGGGAAGTACTGCTACTGCTGCTTCAGCGGCCACCACGACTATATACTCACACACAGCCTAAAACCTTCTCGTTTTGGGAATCAAGTGCGATGGCTTGCGTTCCTCGGCATCCTGTTCCTGGAATGTAGGTGCAGAAGTTTGTCCATCAGCAGGATGACAGCTCCATCTGTGGCTCGGAGGCCAAACTGCTAGCTCTCTACCCATTTCTAGGCGCCTTGATAATGAGAACAGGTTTGTTGGGTATAGTATACAGTATAGTGCCTTGATCTGAAAGAACCCTGGGGACGAGTGTTGAAATTATTCAGACTCACATAATACCCCCTACCATTGAAATTGAAAGGGGTCCGACTTGAAAGTCGGCACTTTGGCTTTAAGGTTTAGGGTATAGGGCTTGGGATTTAGGGGTAGTGAGTAGTCATGGTCGGTGAGTAACTACTCAGGGAAGTGTATGATTCTCAAGTATTTCGCCCCTACGGGTAAGCCCTGGACAGCACAAGATCACAAGCAAACCCGACTCCCAAACGCTAAACTTGAAACTGCGACCTGGTTGCATGTTATCGGGCGTGCAATACTCTTTCTGGTAAGCGTCCTTGCGAAGTCGAAGAAATTTTAAACCGTTTTACCCACGTAATATGCTTGTCATCAATTCATCTTTCAAGTCATGTATTCCGTCTTTACTGCTTAATGCATAGGCCTTCTTGCGCAACTGTTGGTGCATCCATGTTCAGCATGGTTAATCAAGTATCTACACATCTGTATGCACCTGCATGATATCATTACATGGCCTTCTTTCTGGAACGGTAGAGCGGGGTCAGGACAGAGGGCTGCGGGCTGAGGCTACAGGCGGGGATGATATTGAGCTGCTGGAATTGAAGTAGGGATGGGCAGCTCGGGCTAGATTGCATGTATATCGGGTCACGCCCCTGGAGAAGAGTATCTACGCAAAACAAACGCATGCTGTACAGGCGCGCGTAGGTGCTCTGTGTGTGTACTTACTTGTTCTATGTTCATACATGTGTGTGTTTCTATGTCTATACATTTCTCTGTGTGCGCGCGCACGCGCGGGGGTGTGTGTGTGTGTGTGTCTGTGTCTGTGTCTGTCTGTGTCTTTGCCAGCTTGCGTTTAGCTACCTGTCTTGCTGATGTACAGATGCAAAAGCAGGTGCGAATGTTGAACATCGGCGAGGGAGACAGCTCAACAAATGGCAGCTCGAAGGTATGTGAATGCAGAATCACACGAGCCAGGACACATAGATGTTTGAATGCGCGCCGGCACACCGCCCGCCCCCACCCACCCACCCACCCA